ATATATATATGATTTTTGCCTCACAGAACCAAAAGCTAGCCTGATAAAATGGCCATAGTAAGAGTGACTCAGAAAAAAACAAAAAACAAAAAAACCCTGATGCTGTAAATAAAATGGCTGCGACCAAAGATCTCTGGAACCCAGAAAGTCCCCCTTCCCTTTCTTCTCTCTGTCTTGGGGAAGACTGAGGATTCCCAGTTCTCTGGGGGATTTAGGGACATTTCCCTTGTAGGGATGTTTGGCCTTGTCCCCGATTTTCTTGATAAGAATGACAATTCATATTAACTAAGTGCCTTTGTACTTACTAGATCCTGAAAGTGTAGGGCCACCTCATGAGTGAGATACTACCATTATCTCCTTTTTACAGAGAGACAAGAGATACAAAGAGATTCAGTTGCCCAAAGTCACATGGTTTGCAAGTGGTAGAACTGAGATTTGAACCCAGGTTGTTCAAGTGCAGGTTTGCAGTGAAAACAACTATATGCTATATCTGCTGTCTCAGATGAATTCAAGAAACATGGAGTTCTCTAAAACCTGACACAAGCTCCATGCTGGTATGACAGGGAAAGGGTGAGGACACATGCTCTAGATCATACCTAAGCAGGTATCTGTACTGTGCCTGAAAAGCTTGGCAAAGGGGAATGACAGCCCAACCCACAGAATCTCCAGGGACCTTCATTTCCTCCAATGTTTAGTAAGGTCAGGTTAAATCCTTCTCAATGAGAAGATTTAGGGTCACACTGATGGTCTGACTTGACCAATGTCCCCTGAAAGCCTGGCTCTTAGTTTAAAACCTGAGTATTCCAGAAACAATCCAATGTTACAACTACAAAGCAAGCAGACTCCCTTTTTCAGTGCCCCCAAAAATCAAATTGGGGAGCCCTGTTTGCAGAAGCACCTCTCTTCCATTTAGAAGTGATGGCTTCAGACCTGGGGAGATGATTTCCCTGACAAGCACAGGACTTGAGTTAGGTCCCTAGAATTCTTGTGAAAATTCCAGACGTGGTAGAGTACTTTTAATCTCCATGCTGGATAGGGGAAGACAGGCAGATCCCCGGGACTCGGTGGCTAGCCAAGGTACTCCAGACCAATGAGAAACTCTCTCTTAAAAGAGGTGGGTGGTGTTCCTGAAGATAACATCAAAGATTGTCCTCTGACCTCTACATGTACACACACAAATATGCATGCACACCTGAACACACACCACCAAAAGAAAAATAAAAAGAAATAAAGTGATTGCTTCTATAAATGGCATTTACGAAAGAGGAAAAAGTAATGCCCTTTGTTGAACTTCAGAGACCCTCTGAGATATGGATGGAGCACTTGACCGAAAGATTAACCCTCTCCCAGAGATAGAGTTCAAAATGGCTCTGGGTATGCTCCTGTCTTTGCTTGAAAAGAAGATAAAGAGATGCATCAGAAACTTCCCTTTATTCCATTATCATTATGTGGCTCCCTCTTTCTGAATAATCTATTTTCCAGCTTCTGGCGAAATGTCCAGGCAAGGGAAGCTTAATGTCTCTTGGACTCTGTTGATTTCTTTCCCCGATGTTCACTCAGTTGGTCCTGGATGTTTCCTAGTCTTGAGTTTTCATGTTAACCTTGGCTATGACCTCCTCAGATTCTGGCCGTGTAATCCAAAGGACTGTGGTGCTCACAGACACATGAAGGCGTAAGCAGAGATGGAAGCAGTCATAGCCCTATGGGAGAGGGAAAATGATTTGTTTTTCATTTTTAATGTTTCCATGCCTGCTTTTAGAACAACTGCCTTATTTGAGTATTGCGTATGTTAGGGAAGTTGAGTATCACAATGGGAATAGGGCACCCACCCATGAATTGATAAGCTTCCATTGTAGTTGAGCCCAATTCCCGGGCCTTAGTATCTTAGATATTACTCTACTATTCCTCAGAGAAAGGTGGGAAGAGAACTTTAATAACTATAGAATTGGAAGATTTTGTTCTTATCCCTGAGATTGCCATCAGTAGCCTTGCCAAGATTCTTTCTCTTCACATGACCTAGTCTTCTCTTTCCTTTCAGCCTCACAGCCACACTGGCGAGCATTGGCGCAGCCAGTATTCCCAGTGCTGGACTGGTCACCATGCTTCTTATCCTGACGGCGGTGGGCCTGCCAACAGAAGACATCAGCCTGCTGGTGGCCGTGGACTGGTTGCTGTAAGTGCCTGTGGTGGGGTTCTGCTGGGGATTATGGGTGCTGCCTCCCAGGGATGGACAGGTGACAGAGTAGTGGTAAGACCTTAGCCCAGCCCTCTGGGAACTCCCCTACATCCTCTCTCCTTTCTTTCCTTTAGCAGTTACTGTGTCTACCAGGGCAGATTGAAAAATTTTAAAAGGATTTGAGGGCATTGCAGTTTCTGTGAGAATTATGCCAATGCCTTGTTTGGAGTGAAATGATAGCGCTTTGGACCATATCATGGCCTTAACATCAGAGGTGCATTGTGACACACATACACACACACACTGCAACAGAGATGGAAGGCCAAAGTACCTATACTTCTTTGTCCAAACCTCCACATGCACCAGATTCCTACTTTTTGGCATGGATTTTAAGAGGAAGAAGCCACATTTTACAGACTTGAGTTTACATCGCCTCCATTCTTCATTCTTGCAAAGACAGAACAATACAGAGGCTGACAGGGAAAGGACAAGGCCAGCAGGAAGCTGGTCTCTTATCATCTGTGCCTGCTGTTGGTGTAGGCAGTGGGGTTTACGATATAAGAAGAGGCTCCATCGATACATTCTGTTCAATCCAACAGGGCTGCTGGGAAGCCATGACACTTCCTGGCTGACTCTTTCATTACCAGAGTAGTGTCCTGGAGATGACTTGATTGGGAGGATGCAGGGTAGGCTAAATGACCTCATGTCTGTCTGCCAACTCTCCTGTCCTGGTCATTCTCTGCCAGCTTGATTGATTGTTCTCTGTGCCCTGGGTTGGCACCAACAGGTCATGTCATCTATTCAGACAGAGTTCCTGGGATTTGATGGTGCAGGGCTGGGAGGAATTAGTAGAGAACAAAAAGAAGGAGACAGAGGAGTGAGGTCAAATATGCATGGGGTGGAGGACCAGGAGAAAAGGAAGACACTGCCAGTGGTTTGAGGATAGAGCACATAGTAGGGATTCAGTAAATGTGCACTAGCCTTAACCACACAGTTGTTGTGTGATAATCAGGGCCTTTCCACTCAAGAAGAGTGACAGAGGAAGCTGTTCTAATTCTACCCGCTTCCCCTGTGACTTGCTGCTTATGTTCTCCCCTGGCTCTTTGCCTCTTGAGCCTCCTCAGCCCCTGCTGTCGAGTCCCTTGTGTGTGTAACTACACTGCCTTGGCTCTTCTTGGATTTGTTTCTAAAGTCTGAAAAATCCACTGCTAGAAATCTTTTTTAAGGCTGGGGAGATGGTTTAGTTAGTAAAGGGCTTGTGAGGACCTGAGTTCAATTCCAAAATCCCATTTTTAAAAAAGCCAGGCATGGGCCATAGAAATGTCTCAGTGAGTAAAGGTGCCTCCCACACAAGTCTGGAGACCAGAGTTCAATCCTAAAAACCCACATAAAAATGGAAGGAGAGAACCAGCTCCACAAAGTTGTCCTCTGATGTCCACACACATGCTGTGGCACACACGCCCACATTCACATGCACACGCATCACACACATATAATAATAAAAGAAAAATTTAAAAAGCTGGCCATGATGATGCACATTTGTAATCCCCAGCCCTGGGGATGCAGAGACAAACAGATCCCTGGGGCTCACTGGCCAGACAGCCTAACCAAAGCAGCAACTCCAGGCCAGAGAGAAGCCCTGTCTCAAAAACCAAGGTCTATACCTTACAGCCGTGGTTGACTTCAGGCCTACATATACATGTACTCACATGTACACATACACATGTGTGTGCACTTGCACACACATGAACATGTACACACAAAACTTAATCTTTTAAGAAATTATGACGGGAGAGCCCACCATTATAATGTAAATGCCCTGAGTAGAAAGTATGTAGTCATGTTATCAGGAATGAGGGGAAGGGGTGGATATTTGGCAAGTACTGCAATATCTTTGCATTTGTTTTTCATTTACCCCCTGGAGAGTTCTGTGCTGTTTGTCACAGATGAAGAAACTGTGAATCAGAAGTTTTCATCAGTAAAAGGGTTGGGGGAGGCAGAGAGGTCTGGAGTTGGAAAGGTTGGAGAAGACAGGTCTAGTAGAGTCTCCTCCAAACTAGGGTTTCAGCTTTTGCTTCATTAATGTTAAACTTAATTTCCACTGTTAACATAGTAACAGGTGGGGACTTTACTGGCAAATAGGGAAAGAAGGGTGGCACTGGTGCCCTTGCAAAAGGGTCATTTCAGCGCCTTCTTTCCCTTGCTTTGCCTTGCTACCTTCCACCATGTGATAGCACAGGAAGATGGCCACACCAGATCCTGGTACTTTGATCTGGGGGCTTCCCAGCCTTGAAAAATTCTGAGGAAATAAATTTCTGTTCTTTATAAATGACCCAGTCTTGGGTACTTTGTTGTAATAGTAAAAATGGACAAAGACATCTTTGGTTTATATAATAACCAAAGAATCATTTGTTTGGCCTGTTTTTTTTTTTTTCTCTCTCCCAGAATTAAAACAAAACAAATAGCCTGAACTGAAGGCCAGTGGGGTAGGATCAAGGCCTCAGTCACTCTTAGAATTCAAGTCCTCCAGCACTAGTAGTTTTGCCACTGTGGGCCCTCAACTTCTTGGCAGTCTCTTGACTCAAGCCTGGTGGATGAGAGTCACTTCATGAAATATTCAAGACCCTGCCTACTTCTGACCTAAATGCTAGCAAATGGAATAGGAGGGCTGGGTCCTCCCACATCGCCCCATACAGGTGCTCACATGTTCACGCTTGTGCAGGAAAGCAGGGTGTCATAATTAGGTCTGCAGCATGCCAGCAAGAAGGACAACTCCAACAAAAGATGATCCATCTGGATCAGCTACATTGATGAAATGGTGTAAGAGAAAACCCTGTGCTGAGCTGGAACCGGGAAGAAAGCACCAATTGCAGCTTTTTTTGTGGTTCTGAGGTGCTGATCTCAGATGGGATGGGGCCATGTGGTCAAACAAAAGAGACCAGGAGGCAAGGGACCTGGATCTGAGCTCTGTGCTTAGTAGCCATAGGACTTGGGGCAAGGTACTTGTGTGGGCCTCTGCTCCATCATAGGTACAGTGGAAACAGAACTTGAGCTCAAAAGCAGGAGTCTAATCCCATCCCTTAAAGGCTGACATCAATCCTGCTGGTGAATGGATGGTTGTATGTAGACACACATGAGCTCTCCTTTCAAGAAAGAAAGAAAAAGGAAACATGGAGGATCCTGGGAAGATGGGCATGAGAGCCATAGCTGGGTCAGATCTGCTTTGCATTAGTAATGGTGCCACGTTCTTTCTCATTGGAGAGAGGCACTCTGGAAACAAGCTGTTGGTGCTGGGCTCCGTGGTTTTTGGATGTTCATTGCTGTGAAAAAGGGAACAGGGGCCTCATTTGAGACACGGGCTCAGAGGAGGCTGGCTGTCCTGTAGAAAAGTAGTTTGTGGAGGAAAAGCAGAGAAAAAAGAAAAGGGAGTCAAACGTTTTGCCTCTTTAGGCAAAGTGTGTAAGCATTTATAACTCTAGCAATTTTTCAATTTAAAACCAAATAAAGGCCTGCAGTGACATTCAATGTGTCACAGTATTTGCCAACTGCTGGAGTCTATCCAGCCTCATTACAACCCTCTAAGCCCTGGATGCTTTTCTGTGGGCAGGCTTTCCTGTTCTGTAAATGTCATGGTGAAAACCAAGATTCTGGAGCACTGCAAAATGCCCAAGTCCCCAAGTAACAAATAGGCAGGATTCGTTAAGACTAGAGCCTTCTCTTGGATCCAAGAAGCCCTTTGTATCAAGACTCCAATATTTTCAGGCGATTACATTGACACATTTGTTTCTCAGAAGGAGAGAGGATTGAAGTGAAAAATGGGAGCCAATAACAGAGATGGATAATTATTGCCCAGGTGGAACGGAAAAGCCAAAATACAGTGAAACCTATGTGAACCTGTGGTGGTGGTATTGATGTAGCCCAGGGATCTCACTTCTAGAGAGAGGGAGCAGAGTAAGGAGGTTTCTGATCAGCCAGGACTTCCAGACTATGGGTATATAAGTAATTGTTGACAGCCAATGTATCTACTCAGTGAAAATAAATTGAAGGACGCAGGGTGCTAATAGCCAGTGCTTAATGGGGACTCTTACGTGTTAGCTATTGTTCCAAGTACTTTACACTGATTTATTTAAAAGTTACAAGAAATTATAAGGAAGCTAATAGTATATCCCCGTTTCGCTTAGCTAAAAGATATAATTTATTCTAATTTGGTGGCTGTTACATGACTGAGCTGACCTGACTTAACTTCCATTCCATTCCTGATGGAAATGAAAGTAATGCCTACATCTACCATCTCTCTGAATATTCTAGAAGCTTGTGATTCAGTCTTGGTTTTCATGCTGCATGTATACAGGATGCTCCTCTTTTCTACTCTATGCTTATCTCCAGTTTATGTTGCTTTACTGTGGAATGTGACTCGGTCCACCAAGTCCTCTCTCAATCAACATGCCTCTGACTCAAGACAATACAATAGCAGATTCAGGGAGCGGGTGGGTCTATAGCTCTGTACAACAAGACCATTTCTATTATGTCACAAAAGCTAAAGGGAATAAGAAAATGAAAAAAGGAAAGTTTCCTTCACCTATGGTTGACTCTCAAGTGTCCTCCTAACTGTAGTCATTGCTAATAATGACTACAGGTAGCATAGGAATTCACATTTAATATTGATAATTTCTTTCCTTAAAACAATCCATTAGTGTCCCCCATCCCTGGAGGTCTCCCCAAGTCCTCTTGGACTTGACCTTTATCAGTCTCTTTGCCTTGCTGAATCTTTTTTCTTTTAATGTCTCTGTGTCCTTTCCCAGCTTTCTGTACATCTCTTTCAGTTTTGATGTCTGTGTCTCCCTCAATTCCCTGAACAATCTACTCTGCCCTTTCTCCTGCTCCTACTGACTTCCCAACTCTCCCACCCTGCCCTAGGCCACAGTGGTTCACACAACCCTCTCTGGTTTCTGTATTCTCAAATTCAACCAAATGAAATAGAAACCATTTGCAAAAAA